CTGGATCTGATTGGTTACAACTGTGTTAATTTGTAAAGGTTTTAATTGCATATTAGTTCAATTTTCTTGTTTCTTCACACACGTGCACATTGGAAAAGAGAGAAAATTTAAGAAAACGTACCGATTTCGTCATTGATCTGAAAACGATATCGTTCAGCCCAATGATTATAGTACTTCGTTGGCTTAAGTGTCCAACCGTCATCCCCACCGACATGAAATTCAAATGCATGAGCCAAGCACAAAAACTCCATTAAAAGAACAAACAACAAGCTTATAATAGATGGAGAAACCGCCATAGCCATAGCAAGAATCTAGGGTTTTTTGTAGCCTTCTAAGTATGAGTGCAAATTGAAAAGAGATGAAGGAGGAAGGGAAATTGGAATGAATATAAGGTTTGGAAAGTTGAAGGTGAGTGATTTGTAATAGATTATTTTTTCCCTATTTATAGTTATGGAAAAGAGGTGTAAATGGAATTTACCAATATTAAAAATGAGTAATTGTTGAGATTTATTGTGTTGTGTGACCTTTTGACTCGTTGACTTTTTGTTTGAACAACTTTTAATTTTGCACTTAAGAACAATTGCATTAGATGTTGGTTTAAATCCGAAGACCACGTTTCATTTTTTGTTGTTTCATCAACATATTTTTCCTAAAGATAAAGATGGTTTAGAAAAATAATGGCAATATCGATGCTACACCCGGTGGATTTAACCAGGTACCTTAATTCATAAGATTCGCACTACGGGTTCAGTTATGGCCCATTGGGTTTTTAGAAAAATAATTATAAAATAAATTAAAAAGAACACATGTCAATAAGAGAGTTACTCGGTGGAAATCACCGGGTGTAGCATCGTATTCCCCGTATTGTGGTCATTCACTTTGATAGAAAATCTATTTCATTTTATTTATAGGAAAATTTACGGCCAACCCCCTGAGGTAAGACCAAATTACAAAATAGCCCCTCATGTTCGAGTAATTGCAATCACCTCCTCAACTATGTATTGTCTTACAAAAAACCCCCTCATTTGACAACGTAAGGGTGAACGTGTAAGACAATACATAGTTAAATGTGGTGGTTGTAATTACCCAAAAATGAAGGGGATTTTCATAATTTGACATTAGTTTAGGGGTGACTTGTAATTTTGCCGTTATTTTTAATATTATGAAACTAAGTCAAAGTTGATAAATACGAATTTGATCCTCTTCATTTTTATTTATTTATTTATTTATTTGATGTCATAATAAAGGTCCAAGAGGAGAAAAATGTCAAAGAGTAATAACTGTGAGTACTTTATTTTCTTGAAAATGAGTCCAAAGTACTAAATGTGATGAAACTGATATTGAATTTTTTTTTAAGAAACTATGTGATTATTACCCCTAAAATTTAGTCTAATTATAAAAAAACCTCTGGCTTAAAATATATATTACATGTATAGCCCTGAAGTTGAAAGATTCGTTCAGTTTCTAGGGAATATTCTCTACAAATTCCAAATACCATTGATTTATATTTAGTAGGGAATAAAAAACAATATCTCTAATACCATTGATTTATATTTAGTAGGGAATAAAAAACAATATCTCTAAAAATTATTCGGTATGTCCATTGCATAACAAAATGAACATTTGTTTCAATATGTGCACAAGAATATCGATATATTGTTTTCATAAACAAAATATGAGATGTTTGGTACTATGATTTTTTAATATTTAAGCTAACCCATTTGTCGATACCGAATTTTTGGGATTAAATTAAAAAAAAAAATACTAGTCCATGTAAATTGAATATTAATTTAAGTTTCAAATTGATGTAAAATAATAAATTTGGATTTTATTTAATATTCATTAGGGGTGTGCAAGTGTCGGTACGGCTCGATTTTTGCAAAAAATCAAACATGTACTGATAATTTCAATTTTTCAAAATTTAAAAACCAAACGCGTCGGTTTTTTTTTTTGGTTTGGTGCTAATCGATTTTTCAGTTTTCGATTTACGATTTCAATATTAATTCAGTTTATTTTTTGTTTTGGTCTTGCCTTCCGGTTCAGCACAAACCCGATATTTGATTAACTGCGAGTTTTGGCTTTTCTGCCCAGTTTTTATAAGGTATTAACAAATAAATAAACCCTCTTCAAGTTCCATCAAGAAAAAAATCCTTTGAAAATTAAATAATTCAAGGCCATTTGGTTGGTCTTGTTAAATGTTATTACGGGTAGTCATGTTAGCCGGAAAAGCGAAAAGCCCTCCGACATTAACATCATTCCGTTCATTCTTTAAGATTAAAAACAAAAAAAAAGACCCTATGTGATTAACCGAGACTAGAGAAATTAGGGAAATTAAGTATTTATACAAGACATCAAAAACAAAGTCTCGTTTTGCACTATAATCGGTTTGGTTCGATAAACGGTGGTATTTATCTCATGTATTCACCATAATACACAAACCGATTTTTTTTTTTTTTTTTTTTTTGTAGAAAAAAAATTACTGTAAGTGTAGTTTTTAAGTTGGGGTACAATTCATATCGGCTCAATTTCTTCAGTTTTTGGTTTTTTTTGCCCACTCCTAAAATCCATGAGATGGGAGGGGCTTTAGAATTGTGTGAAGTGGGTTGGTTAACCCATAAATAAATATTTAATTTTTTGCCACCTATTTGCGCCCAAATATGGCCGAAATAAATTGAGCTCCAAGTGTTCAAATTCGCCGGCATATACTTTAAGTCAAGAAATCCTAGCTTGAGCCTATCTTAAACATGAACGCAAACCAAATATCGAAGACATCAAACACATCAAAATCTCCCAAGTCTCGAGTTTCTGTCACAACGAAGTACTGCAAGTTGCAACCGCCAGCCGCCAACCGCAAGGGTTCTTCACCAAAGGCACCATATTCATAAGACATGCGTTCTTCCGCAAATTTTGGAGGAAACCAAGTCCGCAATTCGAAAATGATTGTGATTCTTTACATATTCTTTGACGCAAATAAATGCGGTAAATAAAATTTTAACTTTTTTATATATATATAAAATTATAATTTTTGAATATAATCCTAATTTTCCAGTAAAAATATTTATCAATGACGTTGTCTCCTCAAATCTCAGAGCCCATATGTCCTTGATGGATTGCGACCCTAGCCCTCAACGCCTTGTTGGGCTTTCGCTTCGCCACCATATTCGACAAGTTCCTCCGTCCGATGTATCATTTTTTTTTAATGATGATTGATTTATGATTTCTCGATGGAGATGAAAATTGGCGACAATGAAGGAGGCAATGGAAGACGTAAAAGGAATAAATTGATTATCTCATTTTGAACATGACTAAGTAGTGGCAAATTTAAATGATGTACATAAGTTTTTGTGGGGATAATTTCGTCTAAAATCCATTCATTTCACCGCCGAACGAATAAGTCTAAGTTTTTGGACTGAATCGATAAGAAATAAATGGTTCCATTCATAGCTTGTACTAAACACACTCAAATTGTAAAGGCCTATTCAGCGCTTATTAAGAGCTATCAAACATAGCCTTAATTACTCTTAATTCATAATGGATTCCAATTAAAAAATTTAAAAACGTTTGCAAACACCACCTAAGAAGTTTTAGCTAAAATTAATTATATAACCATTTTAGTGGATTCCAATTAAAAATACATGTTGGAATTTTCTTTTAACGGGCCAACGGGCCTATTAGACTAAAATCCATCAACATCATATCAGTTTGAACATGCATTAATTATACATAGTGTATCAACAACATAAACATAATCTTATAAAAGTAACATAAATATATTAGATAACTTGCCCATAGTTTAATTCGAGCTCAAAATCATTATTGTATGAAGATATAAAACAATTAAAAGTATGGATTAGCCGATTTCCTCGAAGTGGGGTTGACCAATTTGAGACGGGCGTTGACTTGGTGTTGGAGCGGGATGGGTTTCGCTCGAAAATATGGATCCTTTTGGGCAATATAAACACAGTGAGTTATTTGAAATTAAAAAAAAAAGGCTTATCATTATTTGAGATGAAATTAAGATATACTTAGTTCAAAAGAATTTTTTTGTACGGATAGAGTTTCTAATTGCCCTAACATCTAGGGGTGGAAATCATAATGAAATTTTTGAATTTCGCCAATGCCGATATGAAAATATCCGAATTGGGAATTGTATTTTTCATTGTCATTTTCGAAGTTTTGATTTTTCTTGGAATGGAATTGGAAGGGTATATAAAAATTACCAGAAATTCTGATTTCCAATCCGATTTTAGTTCCCAAGATTTTTGTGATTTTTCGA